ATGGACCATGATTTATAGGAAAAGGTTTCCCTCCATCCAATTCGTAGATCGAACCATCTTTTTCGACAAGACATATAAAATGTAAATCTACTTTTTCGTCCTCTCCAGGTGCCTATATGTGAAGAAACATAAATTCACGCGTGAAGATAATCTAAAGAATGCTATTAAAGTTATGTAATATATATACCCTAGTCTGACCCATTCTCGCAGAGGATTGATGTGAATTAGCCAATTCCTCATCTTCCTCAAGACATTTGGCTCGCTCTTCGGGTGTCAAATCTTTGGTTTTATCCAGTAGGTGTTTAAGCGGACCATCCTCTAGAAAGATGATATGGTGAATATCTCGATGATACATGTGAATATGAATGGAAAAGTATAAAAAGATAGGGTTTAATTCATACCGACAGGAATGGAATCTCTATTGTTAGCCAAAGAATGTACTAAGGCAATTGTTCCACACGCGTTACCAATAGTTTGTTTATAAAACAAGACATTAGAAGATATTTCCTGTCCACTCTCTTTAATACTTTCCACTTCAGCTTTACAGTAGTCCTTGTGAGCTTCTGAAATAGGAAAAAGAAGAAGAAAAGCTTTAATTGGCTGAGGAATCATTTGTAGAAGCTCTTCTTCAAGGCCTAAGTGTCCGTAATAAATAGACGAGATTTGTTAATAATATGTACAGTCAGTAAAACCAGCGGATAAACCCCCTGTGGACCTACCAAAAACATCGGTATATGCCCATAATGGAGATACACCAAGCTTATGAACATACTAAATAATGAAAATATCAAATTTAGGCAATGCGTGTATTATTTAAAGTATGTCCTTGCTATCACTTACATTGTTCATAACCTAATAACAAAAAATACTGAGCTTTTTGAAATATTGTCAGTAAAAACAAATAAAAAGGAAATAAATATGTACCTCTGGATTAGATTCTAAAGGAATCCACCTCAACTTTTTTTTAGTTTCTGCCATTGCACGTAACCAAAAGTGAAAGCCATGTGAAAATCTGAACTACGGTAATTTTAATGAACCTACTAGTCACCTGACTGTGGTTCAATATGGTTGGCTAAATAATAAAAACACGTTACACCTGATCCTGAGTCGTGATTGGGTTAAAATCACAGGACTGTGGAGTTTTTATGCGGTAGGTACGCATGCATAATTTCAAAAACGCGTTTACGATGAATAATTCGTGTTTACAAGACGTGAAAGATTTCTTTGAAAATAATTCAAATTCGGAAATTATACTAAAGCAAGAAAAGATTCACGCGTCCGAATATCGTGCTGAAAGTGAATATTTTGTTGCTCAATTTATTATCATTGTACTTTTAATTTATTCTTTTGCTGGATGCTACATAGCTAGACGGATTAAAAACATTTTAAATGCTTTCGGAATATCCAAGAATGACTTTTCCAAGAATGGCGTTCAATCAATCAAAATATTGGCGACTTTAGCTACAATTTTAGAATTGAGGGATGTTGAACGAAGCAGGTAAACTTTCGTTATTATAATTCATATAATCCTCAGATATATAATTTAACGCCTTTAAATCAAACTTAATAGCATTTTTTCAGCATTAGCACAGTTGAACATAGATTCATCCCACATTGAACGGCAGAATAGGGATATTTCATCTACTATTAATTCATTAGAAATTTCTACGCGAGAAGCTAAGCTAAGATACGATAAACTAAGAGAGTTCGTATTACCTTTGTAGTCGAAACAATCTATCAAATAAGTCTAAATGCTTTTTTTTTACATTTAATATTATTATTGTCCAGAATTTTGACAAACTTACGAAGAAATTGGGATACAAAAGAAGATCAAAAACTCAGAGAATGGAAACATAATACAACGTTATTAGACCAAAAAGCAAAAGAGTATCAACTGAAATTATCACGATTAGAGGTAATTATATACATTATTACGATATTTAAAAACATTTTTTAATTAAATCGTTTTACATAGAGACAATATGATGCAATGAATATTGAGGGAGGTGGATTACGATTTCAAGATTTAAAGAACAAAGAAGAGCAAGTCGAAGCCCTGGAACATTTAGTAAAGGATAAAGCAAAAAAGTTGAAAACTTATCAAGTCTTGCCCCCGGTATTTTACTTTTTTATTTTTATTTTTTTTATTTTTTTTGATGCACAAATGTGGTTTTGTAAAACCTTATTTATCAGATCCTTAATGCCGTGATATTATTTCTTTATCAAGGATATAACCTTGGCTAAATTACAATTAGATGAGGCTCAACATAAATTGGTTTGTAGGCGTATTACACGCGTCATAAGTTGTGATGGGCAAATGCACATGATCATGTGCAAAAGCTTTTATTAACATTTATAATTCGAGAAAGCCGGCCAGCATTAATATAATGCAGACCAAAAATTCCATGCGCATGACATAATGTACATGAAATTTGAAAAAAACACCAATTTGCTCATCACTAAGTTATATGCATTATACTTATAGTATATTTATTTTGGTTTTTAATAATTGACATCAAAACTAGGCCGATTTGACCGAAACACGTGATGAACTTATTAAACAAATGGCTATCAGTTTAGAGATGTGATTTAGAAAAAAAAATAAATTTTTACGATTTATTTCGAAGAATTTTGTATATACAGTATATTTTATAATAATAATAGGATTTCTATTTGTATCCGGTATATAAGAAAAAATTAAAAAAACGTCGATATCTCAAAATTTTATTAAACTACATGCAGGTAACCTAAGTAAAATTGTTTAGCAACAAATTTGCATATAAATACACCTTAATACCTTTAATTCTAACCCTAATTCTAATCTTATTAACTTTAAGGGTTGTATTTTTTTTTTTTATACCCGGGTATATATCCATGGGTAAAATTAGTTACTTTCTAAAATTTATGGTGCAAGACATCTAAAGACATTAAGGGTGCTGAAAATTTTGCAGATCATTACTTATAAAAATGAATTTGATTGGTCAAATATTTTATATTTACTTATAAAAATAAATTTGATTGGTTAAATTTTTTATAATTAAGATTAATTTTTTTATAATAGTGCTGAAATTTTTTGTACTAATAGTAATTTGAAGATAAAATAACTTTATAATAAATAAGTTGTCGCACCCCAAGTGGCAGGACAAGAGTTCGAATCCCACTGGCGACGAAATTCGAATTTGCGGAAATGCATTACAGTAAAACTGTATGACATATCGATCGGGTAAGCACCTGTGACTTTGGTCTCACCAACTCGTATTGG